AGATGAGCTGAAATATCCAGATGACAAAATCCAAATATATTGTCTGTTTTTATATAAACAGCGCTTTCCATATATTGACTATATACAGACTTTCCATGCAGATTTTGCATGTACAATAAGCTGAGGTGGTTTTAATCGCCCTTGAAGAACTATTTCCGGATTATAACCGATTGCCCCTTTAATTCAGAGAAAAATAAATGGTCTGTTTTTTAAAGTTTCTAATCATTCAGTTGGTTTCAGTTATTCCTCACGTACACCCGCTTTTAAGAAACAAAAATTGTTATGATTTTTTTTTCATTAAAAAGCATAAAAATTTCATGGAAATTGAAAACACCTCTACAAAAATGGGGTACCCTATACAATTTCGTCAAGATGATGGGAGATTGTATTCAAATCGGTGTGCTTAGCGATAAAAAATTCGGATTTGTTGGATATATACCGGCCATAAGTGGAATTGTGCACTACAATTTGCTGATGTATACTGTGTACTATTACACAAGTCGTGACCGTTTTGAGGAGTGTCTGCCAAGTTTTTGCATTTTTGGAATTATGAATGCAGTAATGTGATTCAATACTATTTTAAAAACGAAATGTTCAAAAGTCAAATCAAGTGTTTTTTTTCTTTTTAAGACATATGCATATTATATGGCCATTGTGGATTCCATGTACGAATTGCATAGATTGATTAATATTCCCAGAAAAAACATTTACCGTGACAATCAGCGGCCAACAAACAACAATCGAATTTGTGAAGAAAGCATTAACTATTCTATTAAAGCGTACGCTATAAAGATGACGGTGATACTCATTTCATTTGTTGGAGCAACTATTGGGCCATTCTATCGATATATGGACGATGGAACATTGGTTACGCTTTATTCCTTGAAATTGCCATACCTTCACAATGATTTACACACGGAATTTATTGTAAATGCAATATGGCAATTGATGATCACCATAATAGGCGGGATTGGACTCTTTCTCATTGAAGGAGTACTCACTTTGATCGATGACACCGTTAACGTTTCTTCGTATCTGTGCCAATTGGAATTCGAAGAACTATCAAATTGTCTCAAAAATGAATCGATAACCATTCATAAATCACGTGAAAAACTAAAGAATATCTACATGAAAATTGCATACAATGATGAGTAAGATCATCTCACTTTTATTCTCAGCAAATCGTATGGAATGGTTTCAAATGATTATTATTACTTTTTAAACACCTACTATACAAAATTAGATTCATCAAATCTATTGGAAATCTTTTCTATTGGAGACACTTTTTTGCTCCACTAACGTTTTCTATTTCAATAGCAATATCAATTTATTGTCAAAAAGTGGTATGTGAAATGTTAACTTTGATAGAACTTTTTGTGCACAAAATATATGTTGGTTGTTTTGATTAGATGGACTATCCGGCTGGATATGGATTGGCGGTCGTTTCTTACATTCAAATGGCTGTCATGTGTTTTATGGGACAGAATATTTCGGATAGAGTATGTGACAATCGAATGCATTGTTGTTGGATACAAATTCTATCAAAATATATCATTTTATTCTGATTTTTAAATGGCATAGAATGATCGTTTACTCAGAGCGTTGTACGACTTTAAATGGTATCTTTTACCGAAAGAAGATCAAAAGGATGTGCGACACATGCTTCGCCTACTTCAGAATGAGGTCTCTTTTACAATGGGACCATTTAAGGAATTAAATTTTGAAACTTTAAAAAATGTAAGATTTTTATTCCAGTTCTGTATCAATTTACGTATCAATTTTCAATTTTTATTTGAATTTTCAGCTTAGCCAAAAGGTCTACTCATTTTTGATGTTTTTAAACAACTTCAGCTCGTAAATAGAGAACGAACACACATTGCTTACAGCAGGCACCGATTTCAATGCGGTATGCAATGCGTCAAATATCTTGAACTTAGGCACAGCATAGCTATCGCGCTTGAAATAGCAGTGCCTGCTGAAATCATACAAAACACACAGCCTGATAGCTACACACACAAAAATTATGCGGTCAAATCGAATGAAGTTACTAAGTAGTTACTAAACATAAGTAGCGTGCGGTCAAATTTAAACTAAATCCCGTGTGAAAAAATTACTGACTGACTAGTCAGTTAACTAATTTGAGAGGTTTTTGGCTAAAGCCAATTGAGATTGAAGTCATTTAAAGTTGATTTGCTTGATTTCATTTCAATCGATTCCAGCAGAGAAAAATATAACTCAAATCAACATTATTAGGTGTATAAATTAATTTTTATTGTTTTTTTGGTGAAAAGAAACATTTATTTAAAAATAATAAGAATGAGTACATTAACCAATGTACTACCCATCGTTAGCTATGACTTCGGCCCATCTTCTTGGCAGCTTGTCGATTCCGCGTCGAAAGAATTCCTCATCTTTTCCAGCTATCCATTGATCGACCCATTTTCGCACTCCTTCAGCATTTCTAAACGATATCTCAAACAAACCCATTTGCATCGATCGGAACAAGTGATAATCAGAAGGAGCAACGTCTGGAGAGTACGCAGGATGATCAAGCTGATCCCGACCGAACTCCTCTATCTTTTGTTTGACGATGTGTGCCCGATGTGGCCTAGCATTGTCGTCGTGAAAAAAAACTTTGTGGTTTTTTCTCGCTACTAACGGCCGTTTTTCGTTCAATGCACGTGCCAATCTGTTCAATTGTTGTCGATAGCGATCAGCTGTAACCGTTTCACCTTGTTTTAGCAGCTCATAATACACTACTCCTTTCTGATCCCACCAGATGCACAACATGACCTTCTGGCAATGAATGTCTCGTTTTGGCTGCGACGGTCCTGGTTGGCCTGGATCAACATACGCTGCTTTACGTTTGAGGTTATCATAATAGACCCACTTTTCATCGCCAGTAACAATTCGACTCAGAAAACTATGTTTTTTGTGCTCGGCAAGATGCTGTTTGCATGCTGTGATTCGTGCTCTCAATTGATTTTCATTCAGTTGATGTGGTACCCATTTTCCTAGCTTCCGAATTTTTCCCATTGCATGCAAGCTTGTTTGCCATAAGTGCTACGCAGCAGCCGATGTGCTTCAGCGGCACTTTCCTTGATATCAAATAACAGAAGTAGCGCTGCACGAAAAAATTCCTTACCACGATTCATTTTAGATCGATTCAAAAACAATGGTACTGTATGAAAAATAAACCTTTCCGATCTGAATTAGATTGACAAATGTCATATGTATAAAATTCAATTGAATTCACCTGTCAATCTTCATTCAAGTCTAAGTGGCGACATCTAGATGTTGTCAATAAAAATTAATTTATACACCCAATAATTACATTTGGCTATAGCCAAAAACATCCAAAAATAGTATAGTTTTGCACGTAATAAAAAATTATTATGATAAGTTAATAATAATAAGCATTTCCACCATTATCGTTATTAGGATCGGATCCTAATAACGTTATTATGATTTTATTAACTTATCATGATAAAATCATAATAATGTTATTACATCCTAATACTTATTATGTTTTATCATAATATTTATTAGGATTCATCTTAATAAATACCGTGTTCACTTGATAGCATATTGTTATTCAGCCCAAAACAATTTTCAACAGATGGCGCTACTTCAGACAAGTGAAGTGACCACGGTATTTTGAATTGAATGACATTTTTTGGATATTTATATTTTTAATTCTTAACCAAATTCCGAGTCCGACCGATGCCCAACCGTAAAAATCGGTCGTCGATCGGATTCAAATAGGCAATTGTCGGGATACGGGCGGATTCGGATCACAAAAATGTGGCCCGTTGAGAACTCTGGTATTTATTAAGATGAATCCTAATAAATATTATGATAAAACATAGTAAGTATTAGGATGTAATCCTAATAACTTTATTATGACTTCCGATCCGATCCTATTAAGATCATCCTAATAACGATATAGAACATAATAATTATCATCGTAATAAAAATTTATTACGATATCGCAAAACGCAAAACTATAAAAAATAGTCGTCTGTTTAAAATCAGAAAAATAGTCGATTAAAGTCGACTGGATAGACGGTTTTAGTTAATAAAATTAATTTTCAGTTGATTTCAGCTAGTCAGTCAGTCACCTTTTTTCGCGAAATTTTCGAGGACCGAGCCCCGAATTTAGCGTATTAAAAATTGAATTGAATTTTTTCGTTCTTGTTCTTGTTTTGTTCCACGCGCTCATATTGATATCAATTTTATTACGAAAATAATTGGTAGATAATTTTTCCGTGAATAACATTTGATGACTACAAGAATTAATGATTTCTAGGTTTGAAATAAATGCAATTGATTTTTTTAAATATGTGAACTAAATTACAATACACCACTTGCAGACCATACTTTTCTACATACATTTTTGTTCTATATAAATAACGCAACTTATGGTTGCACAATATCAATGAGAATTGAACGAAAATTGCAGCCAATTAGAGCGGGTTGCCCATATAATTTCATATTTAGAGAAAAACAAAACTGTGTGCTTTTTAAAGTTTTTAATCATTCAGTTGATTTCAGTTATTCTCCGTGTACACTCGCATTTAACAAACAAAAATTATCATGATTTCTTTTTCATTAAAAAAAATTACCCTTTACAATTTCGTCAAGATGATGGGTGATTTTATTCAAATCGGTGTGCTTAGCGATCTAAAAATCGGAATTATTGGATATTTTCCAGGTTTTACCGGATTCGTGCACTACAGTTTACTGATTTATACCATGTACTATTACAGAGAGCCTACCAAGTTTTTGCATTTTTGGAATTATGAATGCAGTAATGTGATTCAATACTATTTTAAAAACGAAATGTTCAAAAGTCAAATTAAGTGATTTTTTTCTTCTCTTTTGAAGACATATTCTATAATAGAGAAAGCACTGTCGCTGAAATAAAAACATTATGTTGCTTTCGATTTTAATTCGCCTTCTATAGGGAATGGAATTTAATCAATATTATTTTAATTGTAACGTATAACAGACTTAGTTACACATTAGTTACAGAGTTGATTTTTTAATTAATATTGCAACAACTTAATTTTTCACAATTCCGTAATTTACTTAATGCACTTACGCAATTCCCTCATCAAAAGGAAAAATGTTGAATAATCTAGAAATTCTGGACTAGAATAGATAGATAAAAATTCAATTTTATCACAGAACACCTAAAATGCCCATATGACCTGAAATTATGGAATAAACTCAATAAAGATATTCAGCCATATGAAAATTGAAACTCTCTCAGTGTTGATTTTTCAAAAACAAAAAATTCTCTAGCAACTCAGACAAATTTTCGTTTTTTTTTTTTTGGAAGTCACTTTTTGAGGCGAAAATCCCTAGCAAATTGAATGAATTCTCCTCAATTTTCTACATTGATGAGCTAAAAAAAAAAAAGGTCTTCACTTTTTTCTTGAAAAACCCTAGCAAATTCGAATAATTTTCGCGAAAAAAAATTTCTCATCCAAATCACAGGGGGGGTAAACACCCCCCTACCCCCCTTCGCACATTACTGCTGTAAATAGTCATTTGAACCTAGTTAAAAAAATAAATATGGATAAGAAAATTTCTAATTTGTTTCGCAGCATAATTGATTAATGAAAAAACGGTTGTTATTCTTTCAGAATAAAAGTAGCTTTATTTTATTTTCATTTTCCATTTATTTTCAGTTTCAATTTACTTTTGCATTTCAGAGCACAATTACAAGCTAATTTTATAAACGGAGATTCACAATGATCTGCATCAGTTTGGAATGAAATATTTGTTCTATAGTCGAAAAAAAATACACACCGAAAAAAATAATAATAATAACCACAATATAATAAATAGTAAATGCTGATCAAACTACATGTTTGATGGAATTATGAATTCCATTGAGAAAAAAAGACTGTTTTGAACACGGTGCGAACGCCCTTCAAATTCAAAGCGTTAGATTCTTAAATCTAAAATTATTAAAATTGGTATATATAAATAAAATGTTTTTATGTTTTTGTCCAAAGTCATTTTGAACATTTGTTCGTAATACTGTGCAATACTGTAATAGACGTTTAGCTGCAATTTTTTTTCTTCTCATCACTTATTCTGGCGAATATTCAAAATGACTTCGAACAATTGTTCTATTACAAATTAGATAGAAAAAATATCTGAAATATTCTGTAAAACTGGGATTACATGAGATTGAACTGTTTGGAAGTATATTGAACTCGAAGAATGATTGCAATTAATTTGAATGTCTCCGAGTACAAGACTCAGAGAAAAACTTCACGATCCACTCACATATTTTTCGCGATCAAAGTTTTTCGATCGAATCCTTTTGATTAAGTCTGTAGATTAGTGTACAACATTTTGTTCGGAAGTGTGTGTACAAATATTTTTTGAGAAAATGAACACCCATTTGGCAAAATTGTGGTAAAAAAAGGGTAAATTTTCTATAAAAAATATTTGTACGTACATTTCCAAACAGAATATTTTACACATCCCCCACACTTAAAACCAATAATTTAGAAAAATTTGATCGCTGAAAATTGGTGAGTACGCATCCAAAAAAAAATGAAGCAAAATCCAGTAAAATTCATGGCATTTGTGGATTTTGTATTCATTGCAATAACATCATTTAAACTATTATTTGTATGAATTGAATATAGAATTGTACGTGTTGTGAGTTGCACGAACAAAATCTATGGAGTGTGTATTTCGTTGGACAAAATTGCGTTGTATTGTTATTCATTTAATTCGAGTTTAAAACCAAATTAAATTTGGTTGAATTTTGTCAAGAACGAAAAAAAAACTATATCATAGAAACGAAAAAAAAATCTCTTTGGTGCTTTTGAACGCGATTTCATTGAAAGATAACAATCTTCCGTCCAAATCAAAAAATACACACTCCAAAATGTGGAAGATTTTGTTGAACTATTTTGTTACTCTTAAAGATTTCGAATATATTTGGTGCGTCGCAGCAGAACTGAGCATGCAGTAAGTCCAGTTGAGTATTTGCCTAATTCTGAAAATTGCAACGTTTGACGTGGAACGTCGATTTTTTCCGAAATGACCGCCGACGAAATGGGACAATCTTGTACGGCCCGATGTATTAATGTGCCATTGATAAATAGCACATTGGCCGCACTTGCTTCGGACAATGTGAGCGTTTGGTATGAAAAAGTTGCTTCGCGTTCGATGCGTCGTAAAATTTCTTGCGATTCTTTCGTATTGGCAACGCATAATAGATCCGTACCGGCCATCGAAATATAATACTTGAGATGATGTTCTTCGGTAACTTTAATCGGAACGCATGGATATTCGGGAAATGCGGCCGCTACCGCTTTGGCACCCGCCTCATTTGTCCATGGCGATAAACCGACAAAAAACTCTTTTCCCGTAAATAAAACATCGCCGCCGTCTAATTTGGCTTTTGGATCAGCAATTTCAACAATTGGAATATCTAATTCTTTTTTGAAAACTGTTCGAATATTTTCCGTTTCTTTGGAACGATTTGGTTGGCCCGGTTTTGTAATCAATGCAATGCCATTGCATATGACCGCTGTGTCTTCGACAAATGTGCATTCGGGAAAATTCTCATCCGGCGGCAATTCGATAACGTCCAAACCCAATTCACGTAATAAATTTACATATGCTTCATGTTCACGTTTTGCTTCTTCCAAATCAATTTCGCCGCGCGTACGAAACGACAACGGTATCCGACACACAATCGCATGTGTATATCTTGATGATGCCATTGCAAAAACGGATCACGGACCTAAATGAATGACAATAAAAGAGACAGAAAAAGAATACGACACACATGACAACATTACTGACCAAATATGAATATACATTTCACGTATCGTTCCATCATATAAATGGAGCAATTAATTAAATTGATTAATCTAAGCACTGGGGTCATCGTGCCTACCATATATACATATACTCGATATGCTCTCGAATTTTGGGCACAGAGCAACTTTAATTGAATTTTTGATTGATTTTCTAACTGGTATGGCCTTCAATCGAACTGCGAACTGGTTTGAATTTTTTTTTTGTTTGGCAATTCAAATGAAAAACATATTTACACTTACGATTATTCACAATGTTTGAAATGCACACGCAACGGAAACTTGAGAGTTAAATCGCTTGATTTTTCGTCTTTGGAATTTAACGTCGAATTAAGTGTCGAGCGCTGCTTCTTCTCTACAATATAATAATGGAAATTATCATATGAACCGAACAAATTGAAATGATTTAATTCACTATATAAAACTTACCAGTGCCAAATACGGTCTATGTGAGTTATTCGCATTTCAAACGCCAACTTTTAACTAGGAGTTGTCACGCATAAACACACAAACTCGGACCCACCAATACATACACACACACACACACACACGTGCGCGCGTACATGTACAACATCACATTCATTTGACAGCTAACCGATACACACAGCACACAATTTTACTCGTTTTTGACATTTTCATTGGATACGTTCAATTCATGTCACGCACATTCACTTGATGCAAATCGTTTTTCTACTCATGCAATTCGATTTTTTTTGCTTGTTTTTTTTTTCTTTTAAATTTTGTTCATTTTCCAGAAAAAAAAGAGAGCAATGTAACACCAAATCGAATAAAGTTTAGGATAAAATGTCGATACTTTCATGTCATGTCTTCTAGTCGTGTTTCCATTTGAAAGTTCAAAACAACACAATATGTCATTTCAATGGTAAACAAATTTCCAAAGCCGCACGTTGAAAATGTCATTTGCTTTATCGCCAACGATAAGCCTGCACAATTTAATACTAAATTTTTCAATTTTGGTGTGACATTCAAACGGTATTTCAATTCAATTAAAATTGCTAAAAGGATTTCTATTTAAATGTCAATAAACGTAGCGAATCAATTGATACGAAATTATTATGGATTGGGACGGATGGCAAACTATAGAAGTGTGAATAGATTGTATAGTACTCGTATTTTAAGCTCAAATCAGACTCTAATATGCAGAAAAACTGTTTCGATAAATTTGTGCGAGTACAGCACTCAGAAACCATCGTCAAATGCACCAGCATCACCATCAATTCTGCCAAAAATCACTGCACTACTCAGTGAAACCAGTAAATTGACACCAGTGTCACAGACCATCATCAATAATGGAAGGTCATTGTTTCGGCGACAGTGGGATGCATTTTTCAATTGGTACGATGAAATTTCACACACAAACGAGGTTCGTATTGCACATAAACAAGTTGAAGATCTGCAAGACAAATTGAATCAAGCTCAACAATTGCGTCGTGATGTTAGCAAAGAACTCAATGACATTCGATACGAATTACAAGTGTGCTATGCCGATCAGGCAAATTGTCAAAAGGGCGATCCACGGTATTTGGAGATGATTCGAAGAGAAATTGAGGTGAGAAGTTTTGTTTTTCTGAAAGGACGTTGAATAAATTTCGTTTTGTTACATTGACGATGAATTTACTTCCAAAGGTGTCCAGCAGAGAAAAGCAGAAAACTGAGGAATTCAATTTGCTTGATAAAGCCGAACGTGATCTTTTCATATTGATGCAATCAGCTATAAAAACATCACATGAAAAAGAGAAAATTCATACAAACTCAGCAAAGTATTGGTCAATTGTTGGATCGTTAGTAGGTACTAAAATGATTCATCATTTTTATGATTTTTTTATTCGCTTTTATCGTACTTTCTTCATAAAGTCCTTTGAAGATATAATTTCAAATCGTAACAATACCCTTGGTTTTTTTCACCACACAGGTGCACTTCTTGGTATTTGCGGTACAGCGTTTAGTTTTTACAATCGCAATGATCTATTGGCGGATATAAACAAAGAGTTTGTTGTGATACGAGATGATACTAAATCGATAAGCGAACAAATTCAGCAATTGACAAACGAACAACGAAATTTTCTGCAAGCGCAAAAGCAACGTGATCGTGAACTATTGGAAAAAGAAGCTGTAGCATATGTGAAACGAGGTCAACAACCAACCACAATCAGCCAAAGCGACGAATCATGGATTCATTGGATCGCACGCAAAAGTTATGTGATTAGCATCTATAGATATTTTGTGCCTAAAACTCTGTCGAATTCTGAATAAAACCAAATTTTGTTTTTTTTTTTCGTTAGTTATCGAATTTATTTTTAATTTATTTGAAAGAGAAAAAAAATTGTTAAAATAAAAAAAATCATTTAAGTTTAACTTTGTTTTTGAATAAAATTCATCTATAATGTGAAACTAGTGGATTTTTTTCGGTAAAAATCTCTATCATTAAAGTCGAGTTGATCACTATGAAAAATTTATAAAAATGGAAAAAAATCTTCACATTTATTTTTTCACTTGCCATTGATATCAAATCATTCACATAATGAATTATAATATTAAACACACCTGAAAATTTGCTCACCTCGTTGAATTGTTTACAGGTCAAAAGCAAATTCTAAGATGTGAACAATAGTATACATAATTTGGTTTAAAACTGTATGTTGGTCACGTAAATGACAAATCCAATGTCATGTCTGTGTCAATGCACGCATCCATATCATCGTTACCGTTAATATCCATTTGATTGTGACCAATGTCGTTAAGGTTGCAAATGGCATATCTTAAACACACCTGAAAATTTGCTCACCTTTATTTTTAATTACGATTATATCGTAAAGGTTCAGCACAACTTTCAGGCTCGTTCACGATATGCTTCACATATTATCCGGTACTATCGTCAACGCTGAAATTTGGCCAAAGTGACACTTGAAAATGTGATTTAAATTAAATTTAAAAATTTCGCACAAAAAAAATGTCAGACAAAACATGACAAACAGTCAGACAAAATTGATGATCGCCGTTGATCGGTTGAAATGACAACGATTTTTTTTACTCGTAATGCGTTCACATGGAACGAGATAAAAAATAAACTTTTCTCTATGCTCTATCTGATTCAATACTCGAAAACGGCAACAATGACAATACACGACCAATGCGAAATGAAGTGAAACTAAAACCTTTGAAAAGTAGCTGACAACGATGAAATAATAACAGCGCGTATAGAGCATTAGTTAGTACGAGTGCTGTGAGTGAGTAAAAGGTCGAATGCGACACAGAAGAACAAACATATATAGAACATAAGGCAATCATCATGAAAGCCGGCCGCACCTCAATGGATAATATTTACTATTCGGAATTCATTGTAATAGAGGCAAGAGAATGTGCCATTCATTTCGTCGAATGTCGTCGTTTCGCGTTTTTTTTTTTTCATTACTATTCTTCTTCTTTTTTATTCACATTCATTTCATACATGGACACGCTCATGAGATAACCGAAAGGTAATTTTTAAATACACATTTAGCAATGGGAATCGATTACTGCAAGCAGCCTAATGAATGCATTAATTAGGCAATAAATAACGATAACGAAAATGCAGAAAATTAACGCACACAGAGATAGCGAGCGGGTGTGTGAGTATCTATGTTTGCGCGGGTGGGTGAGGTTCTGGGTGCCGTTTTTTTTAAATTTCACAGAAAATTCGAATTTATAAATGATATTACAACGAATCAATTTCCTAATCGCTGTGTGTTGACAATTTGAAAATGAGATTGAAAAGGAAATTCAATTTGAAATTGAGTACACTTCGGTACACTTCTACATTTTACACCATCGAGTGTTAATTTTATTGGTTTTGATTTTGATGGACATGGCACACGTTTTTCATTCGCTCTCGATTCGAAAAAACACACACATCGAACAAACAGCAACAGTGCGCATTGAATTTCAACAGAGGGATTTATGCTTCAATGAATTCAATAGTATAGCACATTTTGTCGGTTACCGTGTATGAATGCGCATGATACTCGATTTAATCCCATTTTTGGGATTGACGACATTACCGATCTAAATATAACAACAGACAACAAAAATACGTTTTTTTTTAAATATCTCACATATTCAATTTACGCATTATTATCAATACCTTCAATGATTTTGCACGCCATTGCAATCGAAGATTTTCAAAAAAAAAAAAAACACATGAATTGCGTAATTTTTTGTTTTTTGCAAAACTTCATTTTTAGATCGCAAACAATGAGTTGAAACAAAAATGAATGAACTTTGGAATATTGCACACACAAAAAAATAATTAAATTTGCAATCAATGATTCATTGATGATGATCACTATTCGAATAAAAAACTGAATCAACAGATAACCGATAAACATTTTTTTTATAAACAAAATTTAAAAAAAAAACTTTTTTAAGCATTCAAATTTTAATATGAAACTTTTTTTCTCTTTTGTATGTTTTCAACTCTTGAACATTTCAAAAGTTGCATTTTTCGTGCCAAGTATTTCTTTTTTTTTTTTATAAAATTAAAAAAATTATTCCCCATCAAATACCCATAAAAAGCGACTCATTCTCTATTTATGTCTCTCTATCTCTATCGTTGCCTTCTTTTCTCCGGCCGAACACAAGCATTATGATAATCTCATTTGTATTGAAGAGGGAAAAATGCTTAATCCAATTAGATTTTATGCGTTTATTTCGTATTTCAAAACAAAAGAATTATACAAACTGTATACACATAACTTAAATTTCGTCTTTTTCGTGAATATTTTTCGCAAATAATTTTAATCAAATTATTAGTTACAAAAAAAGTATCAAACAAGGTTAAATCAATGAAATTCGAATAAAAAAATGGTTGATTTATAAATTGTGTGTGTTTGCGATTGAAATTGATCGTTGAACGGTTACCTGAACACTGAAATGCCTTCGACCGTTTCGCGGCGTATTTATTTGGATTCGTTTTTGTGGAATTCAAATGTGTATCATTCGCGTTTTATATAATAAATATATTGTTTGCACTGCGGGCTGTTGGTTCATTGCGTGAAAATCAAAATGCGCTCGCGCATATTCAAATATATTGTGCAGAAGACAATTCGATAGAATGAGCGCGCACATGTGAACAACATTTATACGTTGTCATCATTATTGTCGATGTCGGCATACCTTTATGGGGCAGAACACCCACACACATGCATCATGTCAAATTCGGCATTAAATGCAGCCAACATGGTTTGATTGGCCGATTGTTATTTTTTGTTTTTGTTCCTCCATTTGGTTTTATGTACCATTATCCTGTTAATATCCTTTTATAGAATGGCCAACTTGGCCAACCGATGATATGCTTGCCAATGTGTGCATTCTATGGATTCGTTTGCTCGTACAAATTTATATGAGTCGCGAATAATTGGTTGTTGACTTTATGTGTTTGTTCAAAACGAAAGAGTCCGCGTAGTATTTTTTTTTGTCGTACCCTGTGTCGAATAACGAAGTAGACAAGAGAGAAAAAAGGATGGGCCCAAGGGATGACTTTGACTTTATGGCAAATTACATGATTTTAATGAAAGTGCGCATTGGACATCTCACATCTACTGATTATCATTGACCGATTTTTCGTCTTTTGTCGTTTGAATCTTTTTCATTTGGCAATTACCGTCGTTTCGTTTATTCTTGATTTAAATTGAAACAACTAATCCGTTGATCGAAATATAATATGCAAACCTTGGTGACATTACCACGGTCATTTATATGGCATTCACTCAATTCCAATCATTTTGAGCGGAATATAAACAATACAAACACGGTGAAAATTCAATCCGAAGCTTTATCGAAAACTTAATTCTGGATCACTTACTGAACAAATAAATAGCTGTTTCCTTGAAATAATTTATTGACTGAAAAAATATATTACAATGAAAGGGCCTCCCATGATCACTTGAAAAATGATATTTGTGATAAAATCTGCTTGTTAGACGGTTGTGGCAAAAAGAATTCTCAGTTCAGTTGCAGTAGTTTCGATACCACGAACCATATATTCTGTGTGTTCAGATCTTATTTAAAACACCATGCAAGTTGCGAATATTTTTCAAGCGTTAAACAACATACATACACTCGATGGCAAATTCGTTAAATAAGCAGAGTGCAATATGAAATTAATTTGTTGCTTGGTATTGTTGAAATATTAAGTCAATGCGAATATTTTCGAAACATATGAATTTTACTCAAGAACCATGGAATAATATAAAAAATAGATAAATTCAACTGGTCCTGAAAATCCTACAAAAAGCATTTCTAGCAGAGGGGCTTGTGACTTTCATTTTCTACAAAAACATTTGTTTTTTCATGGTAAATGTGATCCCCAAACTTTCTACTTTTTATAACGAAATATGGTAGTTTAAAAAGTCCATAAATGAATCCGCTGAATTTTTCGAAAAAAATCCAAAATGTGAGCTCCGTATCTAAAAAGACATTTTAAACAATATTCTTTAATCGAAGGACGATTCGTTTTTGAAAGTGATAGCATTGTTTTGAAGCACTATAATTAAAATGACAGACTGAAATAACGTTTTACATTGTTGAAAGCGTTGATAAATTGTCTTCAGAATTTTAATTAAAAACTTAATTGTTAACTATAGAAATGTTTAATTTATTTGATTTAATGAAGTAATTTATTGCAATGCATGTGAAAAATACGTGTTTTCCTTGTTCTATTGAATGATTAAAATCGATCCAAATAACGACCGATAAAATGTCCATATTAAAATGAAACTATTGTAATAGACCGCATTAAGCGCGCCATTACGTACGTTTATGATAACCATCCGCGATGATGATTATTGCGTTGCCAATCATTCGGGGCAAATTGATTGACATGTTTGAAATAGGTGTTAACGTGTCCTATTAACGTTTTTAAGTGCTTTTAAAAAGTTCAGACGCTTCATAAAAATGGGACGCGTGCCTTAGATATTAGGACATCATATCACTGTTGTTGTTCCATGCACATAATGCACATAAAAATTGATGTTTATATGGTTCGTCGCACTTAATCGGGTTATTTGTTGCTGATTCATGATGCATAATAGACAATTTGAAACGGGAAAAAAGGGAGTCCTCCATCGACCAGCCGACTCCAACTCATCATATTTCTATCATACGCGTCATTTTCACCATTTTAACACCTATTTTATATTATGCAGAACAAATCCAAGACAAGATGCATTCATTCCATCAAATATCGTTTCATTTGCCGTGTGTCTCGACATTTAATGAGGCAACCAAATTGAATATGGCTTTGCACACGTTCCAATTTGACGCAAAGGTTTTTATTAAGCGTAAACAATCGCACATTTTATAACCAACAACATTATTAACAGAGCAAAAAAAAACATACGGAACATTATTAAGGCGATGACATTTCCGTGACATTTACAAGATAAGGTTGTTATGTAAAAAAAACGGATATTCTATCCTTTTGCCATTTGTTACTACAATTTTGCATTTTTTTCTGATATAATTTTTCTAATATAAAATCATTTTTATCTATAGATTTGATAAGGTAAGGCTAATATAACTAAAGGTAATGTAAAGGTCTTTCGAAAGAAAATCTACAATTCAGCACATTGGTAATGTTTTGGAGAGTTTGAAAAAAAAAGATAAGACCAAAAGTTGATGGAAAAACTGACGAAAAATAATCAGCTAATAAAAAAAACTGCATAAAATCGAGAAATATTGTCAAAATCATGTAAGAAGATCGATCAAAACGTTTAGCGTAATGTGTTGACTGATTCCGTTTAAATGAGCTACAAATATCATCGATTTCACATTAATTTTGAAGAAATTCTTTTGTTTCAAATGATGTGCCCGCTTAAAATAGAAGCAAAGTTGATTCGAGCCAGAGGCCGATTATATGATACGATATTTCCTTCACATTGTATTGAAGTGACTAATACATTGTAGATGTCATGCAATAGTTGGGTGTGTCTTTTAGCCACAACGACAATATACATGCACTAAACATAAGTTATGGCAAATGTGTATGGCACACAAACGCTGTATGAAAATTGACTATTTCGTTTGAAGAAATTTCTATTTTCTCTCTCTCTTTCACGCAATTTTTCAAAGCAGTTAATTTAAAGTCGGATTATTTTTTGTAACAATGCACATTTTGACGTTTGTATCTATTTTATTTTCGATTACTTCGCAACAAATTATTATTATTTGTCAGATTTATAAAAGCCTTCAGATAGCACTGGAGTACCATTAAGCGTTTTCATTAGCTTCCACATGCGTAAGGAATAGAAAATATCGGAAAATATTCTATCTATTTTGTATAAATAAAATTACGCTCATTCAATAGAGTGTATTACGAGAGCACAGTAGCCCCGGTCGTCATATTATGCGACAATATTTATGTGCCGGTTTCGAGAGTCATTCAATTGAGTCGGTTGAATATGCGGCGAACAACACCATCAAAATCCGTTGCTTGTATGCATTGGCTACGACCACACCTCGTGTGTGCAAACCAATTTTCTAAATAAAATTTCGAGTAAAATATACGAAAATGTAGCAGCACCACGAAAGAGACAAACGATCGGTATCTTAATAATGGCAAAGGAAAAAGTAAAATTGGTTACCGGCACCACAACCACCACCACCAGCACTCTGACCGGGCAAAAAAGTGTCAAAACATCATCAGCATTGGCATAACGAATACCAATTTTTGATTGTATTCCATTATGACCGCAGTGAACACGCGCGCCACACATATTAACGATGATAATAACTCGGCACTTTTCACTTCAAACAATCATAATATTTTTTTTGAGGGCTTTATATTACCGAACAGCGTCAATTCGTGTACATCGTATTATATAACGTCGCATATTAGATGGGCTCATTGGAGCAAGGAGTGGCCATACCTTTTTCATTGTTTTTATCGATTTGTTAAAAAATTTTGGCTGTGAAATTTGGTCAACTACACAAACTCCAATATTATTGACTCTCACGCGTGATATTGTTTATTTTAATATCATTTACAGCATCAATAGATCAATATTGATAGAATCGATATATTGACTGTTTAAAACAACGTAATATCAGAGGTTGAACTTAAAATCACATCAGCTTATTCTATTCTATTACATTTTTTACGTCAGTTTGTAACTTACCAAATTGGCACTTTTAATCATGATGAAATTCGGTAAAAACAAGGGTTGGATACTTTTCACCCTAGGCCTACAGTTTTTTCACAAACAAAAAATTTTTAATCCATGGAGCATGCCTTCAAACCAAGGGTTACTTACCTCATGCAGAGGATTGGGAACTTCTTTAAGATCCAGTACCATTTCCTTTTTTTACATTTTTGAATTACGACAAATAATAAATTTCAATATTTGATGAAAAATCACAGTTCGGCAAATTGATAATTATGATAAATGATTATGATTATATTTAGTTAAGACTTATATAACTGAGAAAATACAGATGTTAAAATAAATCATACTATCAAATGGTATATTTTGCGGAGTTTTCAGTCTGCAGCAATACAAGTGTTTATAACAGAATAATTTGAAGAGATATTCCTGCAAAAACCACTATTTCGCTGCAGACACACATTTATTTTATGTTTCCCCAAAATATACTACTTGATAGTATGATTTATTTTAACATCTGTATGTTCTCAGAGAAGCTATGATTAAAATTAGCAGTTATGAAAATAACTAAAGTTTAAGGTATTATTCTTACCGCCCAAAAATAATATAAGAAAGCAAGCGTGAATTTGACAAAACTAAACCATTGCGTCGAGCTTGAATTCAATAGTTGTAAATAATTATAAGAATTTTGTAAAAAATAGTTCATTTTTTGCATCTTTCAAATAGTTTTGACCCTGATATGTTGTTGCGTCAATGCGATTTTCATTTTTTGTTTTCTTAAGATTATCAAAAATATTTGGAATAATAAGGCTTTACTAATTAGCTACAATAAAAAATTATGATAGTTAATCAATTTTGTCACTAAGCACGACTCTGTCTTGAAGTTTATCTTACTATTAGCTGACTTTACAAAAATGCAAGGGGAAAACCGGTACTGAAATACTAAATATACTCAGAAGTATTAAAAAGTACCGAAAAGTACCGAAACGTATCAAAACGTACTAAAACGTACCAAATAGGTATTCGTTTAAAAAAAAGTGAATAATTTTTTCGTGTTTTCGACTGTCTTTTTGGTTTTACATGGCAAGCTTGTATGAAACTCTCGGAGACTCGGTATAATGCACAAAAAAAGTGAATTTTTTTTTCGATATTTTTGTGCACTATACCAAGTCTCCGAGAGTTTCATACAAGCTTGCCATGTAACACCAAAAAGACAGTCGAAAACATGAAAAAATTATTCACTATTTTTTTGAAACGAATACCTATTTAGTACGTTTTGGTATGTTTTGATACGTTTCGGTACTTTTCGGTACTTTTCAATACTTCTGAGTATATTTAGTATTTCAGTACCGATTTTCCCCTTGCAAAAATGTCAACGCAAATATGAAAATAAGATTAAGGATTCAAAAAATAAGACAAAAATTAATGACTTGCTAACAATGATTGAAGCGTGTGTGAGAATATACTTATAAAAATTATCTTATTTTCAATGATGGTTTTTAAATTACGTTATCTCTAAATAAATTGTGCTACAATAAAAAAGATAAACTAATCAATTGCACCAGCTAGAAGAACAGTAAAAAAGAGCTTATCAAATAGATCACAATTAACCTTAGTTTAGTCAAGAAGTTTATAATCTGAAACCATCAAATTCATAATTTTTTTTCGATGATGAAATTCAATTTTTTCAATCAACATCGCAAATTATGTTGGGTGCTCGTGCTTATATTAGCCATCGTCGTGGCGTTAGCGGCGATATTTCTATTCATTTCAAATGGTACATTGAGCGTTTATAAAAATAAGACATTTGATGCCCGATTCAATAAAGAAGCACCAAATATATGCTTAAGCTCTTGCAAGTAAGAATCATTTTTTTTCTCAAATTCTTTCTATAAATTGAAATGTATTCATTTCTCTCTCAAATAGTATTGAATTGGTTGAAACTATTCCGGAGGGTATGGTTTATGCCGATGGAAGTCCACTATTTCAGTCAACGTACAACGCTTGGTTACGTCTCATTAGGTTGGCCAATAAAACGATAGATATCGGTTCATATTATTGGAATTTAAGTGGAGCCGTGTCTTATAATCATTCGTCAGCGTGGCAGGGTGAAAGTATTTTCCAAAATCTATTGTCGGCAGGCACAAAAAACGGCATTCAAATTCGTATCGCTCAAAGTCAAAAGTCAGATGTCTCAGCAAATTTGGATACTGAAGAATTGATGGAGAAAAAAGCAGCTGAAGTTCGATCGTTAGACTTTCCAAAATTAGTTGGTGGCGGTGTACTGCACACAAAATTATGGATTGTTGATGGAAAGCATATGTATGTTGGAAGTGCCAACACGGATTGGAAAGCACTAACTCAGGTTTGACAATCGATGTATAGTCGAAAATTATCGCGCTGAACGACACTCGAATGAGTTACTGTTATAAATTATCACTAATTTGTTTCATTTCACTCATTTTGATTCGTATTTTGTATAGGTTAAAGAACTTGGAGTATTGATAACCGATTGTTCGTGTCTCGTTGATGACGTTTCATAGATTTTCAATGTATACTGGGACATGGGCGAAAAGGATGCAGTAATTCCAAAGAGTTGGCCAATCGAGTATAGTACAAAGATAAATGCTTCGAATCCAGTTCTAGTCGGTTTCAATAATCAATATAAAATGAGCACATTTTTTTTCGGTAAAGCAACCATATTTTTTTTCACTCGTGAATTCACTAATCGGCGATTATTTCAGAGTTCACCGCCACCAATGAGCCCCGACGGTAGATCGCAGGACATCAATGCCATTGTAAATGTGATTCAAAATGCTAAAAAATTCATTCATATCTCGGTGATGGACTTTATACCCATGTTTGAATATACGGCAAGACCAAAGTACGTTTAGTCAACATTTTCTCAAAAAAAAAGATCCCATTTCATTTGATTTGAATTGTTTTTGTAGATTTTGGCCAATAATCGACAATGCACTGCGTGCGGCTGCAATCGAAAGAGGTGTGTCGGTAAAGCTATTGATTTCATGGTGGAAACATTCAAGACCAGCTCAAGATTTCTTCTTGAATTCACTGAAGGTCATTTCGAACTCATATCCTGGTGTTGACATTCAAGTGGTAAGATTCCGTCAAAATTGAATTACTTTCAGAGGGTAAAACGTGTTCGATGCCATTTCAGAGACGATTCATTTGCCCAGCAACAGATGATCAATCGCGAATTCCATTCACACGCGTCAATCACAATAAGTTCATGGTTACTGATAATACGGCTTATATTGGAACATCAAATTGGTCGGCCGATTACTTTGTCACTACGGCTGGGATTGGACTAGTATTGGAGGAACGATCAGACCGAAATGAGACTGTGCCGTCGATACGCAATGATTTAGCCAGTGTCTTCGAACGAGACTGGAGTAGTGCATATGCTGTTGAATTGAAAACACCTCCGTCCGATTAAACTAAACATATACTGCTTATCACATGGATATTTTCTATATTTACATTCATGTTATGGAAAATAGTCATGATTTGTATTCAAATTTGGAAGACAATAAAAAGAACGATTCATGAAATAAGAGATCATTTTGTAATTTTGATCGCTATTTGGCAAAGTTTTTCTCGTAAATGGTGGTGTTGCACCATTGGTGTAACTACCAAATAGCTGGCTAATTCATGTTAGCCGAACTTTGAGTGATGCTCATTATATTTTCGCAAACTTACAATTATTATCCTGACTGAAAATTAATATCAATATTCATATTTAAACAGTTATTTCGATACTCACGATATGGACTTCACTGTCAAATTCATGTTAAAATAATAACTTTTAACCAATTTAAGAATTTTTGAGAGAGCTAAATTAGTTGAAATAGCTCGGAGATTAGTGAAAATAAACGTAATGAGCCGGTGTACAGAATACAAATAAATTGAATTTATTAAAATATCAAATAATGTTGGTGTTGTAAACAATGATTAAACAATACAATCTCTTATTGAATATAAATGGTGTTTGTGGCCGCTATATACTCTATCTCCATTTAGTTGTGTTTTGAATCACTTTTAAAAAATAAACTGCACAAACACAAAATATGAGGATAACGACGATCAAAACGACAATAACAATTATGTATGCAGTTGAGGATATCGGGGTCGTATCTGTTGTAATTCCAGGTGTGCTTGTTATATTTGGCATAACATCACGAACATTCGATTCAGTCGATATATTCATAGTTGTTGAAGTATATTTTTTTAGTTGTCAACGGATATGAAACTTCAATTGATGATGCATTTTGAGCGATGCTAGGTTCTGTTGGATCAGCATAGACGCTGGGTTCCGTTGATATGTTGGCATCAAATGAGCTCTCACTGGCTACAAAGGTTGATGTCACATGCTCTAATCTAATTATAGTGGTGTATTTAAATCAATTTTTGTTATATTTTGATTACTACGACCACAATCGATATTATTCCGCTGTGAAAATGTATCTTCGAAAAAAGTTAAACCCGTAAAATTACGTTTGAACTCCGTTATATATTCATAAGATAAACAATCTTTGTCGATTTCCAAATCAGAGAGTGCGAGAAAACGGCTAATATTTTATTGTAAGTTTATTACAGTTCAAGTATATACTTTGAATCTGAGTTGGAATGAATTGAAGGTCAATTTCTTGAATGCCGTCCCGTTCGAACAATCGGCGCCTTTTGAAAGGTGCCCGCACCATTTCTGCGCCTTTTAATGAAATGACGAGAAAAAGAATAAACAACATCGTATGACTCGTATATAAACAGCGTGTACGATAAACAGCATAGTAGGTGCACGCTGTTCATATACGAGTCATACGATGTGTGTCACTATAGCGTGTTGTTCAATAAGAAACTCGTTGGCTTTATCAGTTGACGTGCCGAATTTTACCATACCAAATAGTTGCGGTCAAGAGTTCGAAACCACAGAAGACGAATATTTTTTTTTATTTCTACTCTGATTTAATATATCTCAACGCGAAAAAGTTATTTGAGCTAATTAGTGATTTTTTTTTTGAAATTTTGAGCAATGCGAGCAACAGCAGCAGCCAAAGAAAAAACTGCTTGAGCAAGCAAGAGTTTTATGGTATGCTCCCACGTACGTTCAGGATTAGAATTTAATCCTTTTGGTTTTTTTATTAAAACAATCCAAAAAGATTAATTTATAATCCCTTCAGTTTTACAGTGAAATACAAGTTATTAGTGTCGCCATTAGTGAAAAATATTTGAACTCCACGTATATCAAAATAGGAAAGCTCCTTTGCATTTAGCTCACCGGCAATATTGCCCGAAAGATCTAATGATCTAATTGCGAAACAGATTTGATTTTACAATTAGAAGCATAAAATTGAGATAATTGTTTTAAAGTAATTGATAGTATGTCGAAATTAACATTTTCCAAATTATTATGTGAAATATCGAGCGTTACTAAATTTCGTAGTTTCTTGAATGGATTAAACTTGGTGATGTGCAAGTTGGTATTTTTTAAATCCAAAGTTCTCCAATTTGAACCGGTCTGAAAATGTGTCTCATTTAAAGTTCCAATAAAATTACCAGAAAGATCTACATATAACAGTTCGGGTAAATATTGAATTACTTCAATTGTATCATTCAGTTGATTATTACTGATATCAAAATAATCGAAAGTATTCAAAACTGATGCATCATTCACGTGCGTTAAGTTATTCAATGAAATATCAAGCACTTCTAATTGTTTACTCTTCTTCATGATACTGAAATCAAAATTCACTAAACTCGCGTTGGAAAGGTGAAACCATTGTAAATTAGTGAATCGTTGAAATACGGTTTGATTAAGTTCACCCAAGAAATTGTTATTCACAAACAATGTTTAAATCGATGGTCCAAGGCAGTCTAGTATTATCGAAACATTTTCAATTTGTGTATTTTCGATCCAAAGTGTTTCGATGTTTTTGAAACTTTCTTTATCGCAATGAATTTCAAATTTTCCGTTTGCAGCTATAAGAAGTCCTTCATAACTGGCACTCCTGACGAAACGAAACGGCGTGTAGTATATATTGAATCCACAGCAATGAAACGACAACACAAATAACACATATTTTTATTGTCAAAATTTTGATGTCAAATGGTGTCGACATTGGTGACGGTATTTTGAAACAGACTGTGTAATCCATATTCATCGTATATGATCCCATGTAAAGTTCTATACTTGATCTAGTTCACATTGACGGTTCAAATCGTTTATGTCCACTAGCGAGGACATGGACTGTGTGTTTCTTCTGTTACATGTACGTTGTAATGGACAAGTATAGTAACATGGCGTCGTTCAAATAAATTTAAAAATCCGTCCACTCGTGTCGACACCATCTAGCACGGTAGTAGGGATTTCATTGCTGTGATTGAATCTTTCAACATTTGACCATGAAATTATTATTGAAACACTTTCTGGAATGAATTCATGATCATAGCTGCTGAGTTTTTGAATTGTTTTATTTTCGAGATGTAAACCGACATTGAATTCACTTAAAAAACGCCAATGATCGAAAGTTTTAATTCAATTGCTGGACAAATCCAAATGTTTTAATTGTCTAAAATTTGAAAATGCATCCACGTCAATGTCTTCTATGTGGTTATTTGATAGCTTGATCTTTTGCAATTTATAAAAAACTTCGAATGAATATAATTCAACTTTTTTAGATGATTGTAAGACAAATCGATCTCTTCGAGTTCATGAAATGAATCCAAAAATATATTTGGTACTTCATATAATTGATTGTGCGACACATTGATTTCAACCACATTCATTTAAAGCGTGTTTTCGATATTAAGCGAACTCAATTTTACATATTTTGAATATGAAATATCAATTGAGTGTCGTTGATTTGAATTGTTCACCGTTTTTATTGTCTCCGAAATAAATTCAATATCACATCCTCCAATCACTGACTCCCAATTTGAATGCATGTTTTTTGAAGTTGTACAACTTTTGGGTACACTTCCATTGAAGTTCTCACAGTAAAACTCTACTGAATTCGTTGAATCATCAAATAATATACACGACGGCGGAGTTGAATAACACAATCGAAGTGAAAACAACACTAAAACTATTGAGGCTTTCATTTTTTCCAAATACAATTGATGTGACTACTTTATCAATTTTAACTGAGCAATGATTTTAAGGAAACTTTGTTAATTATTATAGTAATTGTGAGTATTGCATATACTATTTCTTATTTTGATAACGAAATGCGTAAAAGTACAAGATTATTTCTCAAGTAGAAATAAAAAGTACAAGATAAATGAACCATACAAAAAATGTATGGACATGTTGCAGTTTTATGGTTAACTTTAATGAAGGTATCTATATTTCTCAACGGTTCAAATGTGCCCTATTTTTGTTTTTTGTTTTTTTAGATAAAAAATTTTCTAACCATGAGAAATAAAATTTACAAGAAAATGTTTTTAAATATTAATCGACTCGGTCTCTAAATCGTCCGACATAGGTTCTCGGATTCAATAAAAATGTGAATTTTTCACATTAATTTCAAAGAATTTGTACTTTTGTATGGCTAAAAACTGATGAAACTTGTTCAGCTGTTTGATAAAAAAAATTAGATTCTCAAAACTTTTAAAGTCTGAATTTTACTAGACCAAATCGACCCGGAAAAAATCTGGTAGGCTTACATTATAGAATATTGAACCGTGTTGTTTCTCTGGTGGTTTTTTGATGTACAGTTGACACCATTTGAAATATTTTTTATTATGTTGAAAATGGTATTCTTTGTTTCGTCAATTTTTCTTACACCAAATTACAGGAAATGTCATCGCTTTTGCAACGCTTCAGAACTAGGGGCTTAATACGGCAAAAAAATTCACAGGAATTCACGTAAATTCACACTTTTGAATCGAGTGGTTATTGATGAGTTCGGTGAATTCGTGTGAATAAAATGAAATGTGTCAATTTAATAAAGTGAGGTTATGATAACCGCAATATTTTTTAATTTATTATTTTTTCAATATTTCCGATTGTTTTCGATAGAAAATCGCTCAAAATTGTAAATAAAATTAATTTTTATTAAAAAAAACATTTACAATTTTGTTACACAAAATATAAATATTGCAGTAATTGCCAGCAGAAACTATTCACCACTATCTCACATATTTGAATGAACTCGCCGTAGAATTCACCGGAATTCATTCGTTTGCAGAAAAATTCAGTTAATTATATATTATTATAGAATTCAGTCGTTGAAATTTTTTAATTAAGCCCCTAGCTTCAGAATGTTTAAGTTTAAAAATATTCCAGAAAAATATTTTAACGGTGATACTTACGCCACTTTAGTATGTTTTTCACCAGTGTAATTTCAGTTTTTGAGAGAGAAAAAAAAATTAAAATGATTCAACTAAGCAAACTGATTTTATTCAACTCATCAAGAAAGCACTTTGTTGGGTTCATTGTACATATTAACAGATTGGCATTGCATTATTTTCATTTTTTGAAAAAATTGATTTGCAAATATATTCCTAGGAGTTACAAATTTGGATTGGTTGCTTTAGTTAAATTGAAAAGAAGAAACAAATTGTTGCCATTGTTGCGCCAAAAAGTGTCGAACTTAATTTACTCTTACAATAAAACCGTTTTTTTTTTTTTAATAGTTCAGTCTTGTCCATAGTTCCGGAAATGCGTAAAAAAAATAAATGAACTAGAACACTGCATTTATGCATAATTCGTTTACAATATTTTTTCTCATGTTTGTTAGTTCTATCAAATGCACAATTCTCTAAAGCTTTTATCTAATGTATAACTCACATCTATATACATACTCTCTTTTCACATTATAATATTTTATATTCGGTGTATAATTCAAATGTAACTGGATCCCTTATATTTGTAAATCTTTCTCCTCTTCATATAGTTGAATTCGAATTAAAGCTGAGTTTATGATATATATATATATTTCATCATATTGGATAAGATCATTATGATATATATCTAGTGATAAAAGTTGATCGTGTGCCTCGTCAGTTTGAAAGAGCGTTGCATGCCATATGAGCGTATGCCATAATACGATGAGCGTCTAAGTGATTTGCTTAATGATTTCTTTTTAGTTTGGCAACAATTTTGTTTAAAGGTGAATGTTGAAAGTTGAGCGGTGGCATTCCATGTGGAACGAACTTTCGCGTTTGACGTGCGCCTGAGATGCTTACGTGGGTCCTAGTTTCTATCGATGGTTTAAATTCTTTTTTCATTTTTTTCTTTCTCTATTTGGTTGTTGTTGTTATTTATTTCAATTTGTACTCCGATTCAATCAACCATTCCATGCGGTTCGTCTTAAGACAATTCATAAAATCATTCTTAACCATACTATCTCATCTATTATATGTTGTATCACTTCAAATTGACACATTTGTCACAATAAAAAAATTATTTGCATCACAGTTCGGCGACAGTGACACAACAATGGCACAATTTCAAATAATCAAATAAAGTGTTTGAAGGCGATTTTTTTTGCTTGTTTGTTTGTCTGTCGATATTACATCTAAGTAAATAGTGTGTTACTGCTAAATAAATGCATCTCTCATCAAAAACAGGTCACTAAAAATATGTATGTACTTTGTTTTTTGTTTTTTAGGTTAAATGTCACGTGAAAAAGAGATCGAACTTTTATGATTTTTTCTTGTCTATTTTAGCAGCTGAGCTCGTCATTGGTGGTTTCGATTTTTCTCCGGTCGTTGGTTTTAATGCTTTCGCTGGACTCGATCTAAAAAAGAATTGAACAAAAGGGGAAAAAACATGTGAGATTTGCTTTATTTTCATTAAATGCTCTTTTACTTTTGGTTTGATGACGGTGTCGTTGTTGAGGCAGTCATTTTATTTTTTGAAGTCAATTTGGTTTGATTTTTCTTCTTTTTTGGACTGGCCGGTGGCGTATTTTTCGGTGATTTTGTTGATCGTCCACTGATCGATAAACTTGATACTCCGACTCCACTTGCTCGACTGCCCGACAATTTGCTAATGGCACCAGTCGCTGGAGCGACCACACTTGTAGCCGAAAAGCTATTTTGTCGTGGCGGTGTACAGCCCAAATAAATGGCCGAACCCTTGTCCAAATTTGATAAATCAACGCGCGATCCATGGACGGACGGCGGAGCGGATCCTTGTGTTAAGAATATCATTTATTTTTCAATTCAAACATAATATCGACTGAACATTCAAATACCTGTATATGAAAATAGACCAGATGGACTACTTCGTGGTCGAATTGCACTCATTGTGCTTGCACTTCGGTGCAATGAAGATGATGTACTCGATGCATTTCCATCGAGTTGACTTAATGATGATGTGCTGTTATTTTGTCGCAAACCTTGTCGCGGTGATGATGGACATGATGATGATTGTCGATTTTGATTGATCGACAGTCGTGATCGCGATGCATTTGATTTCTTTCGAAAAATACCCTGTCTTGTATCCGCATTGCAAACCCCTTTATTGTATCGCATTGATTGAACCAGTTGAGTGAATATTAATTATGTGACCAACTTGAATTTTATTTTTTTATTTTTATTGTTTTGCTGTGTCTTTGTATAATACGTGAGCATGTGACTTGAGATTTTTTCCCGATTATGTACATTTTTAATTCGGCATGCACACCTGATAATTTACTCTAAATAGACTAAATGGCATATGTTGCATCGTAATAAATGAGCAATTCTTATGTGCAACAAAAATCATTTGAGTAGTTGAGAGAGAGAGAGAGAGAGAGAGAGAGAGAGAAATAGGGAGTGGATTGGGCTTAGCATGCATTTTTCGTTAGTATTTCAAAAACATCAAGTGATTGTAAAATGCACAAAATTTTTCTGAAGTGTTGGTCAAGTAAGGAGAGCAAGTAACATGTTGTTCAAAGTGTTCTATAAAGCAAGTGTAATAAGCGACTGCGAAAACGAAAAGGTCACATTCACAAATTCAAAAAGCTCGCAACCGAATCACACTGAATCGAATGCTGATTTGCATTTTTCCATTCGATTTCAGTTATATATTGCTATAAACCAATGAAATAAGGCCTAGCTATAATTAAATAAAAACACAATGTGATGTTTAAACATTTCTTCTAGTGATTTTGTTTTTATTGGTGATAATCAGTGTTTAAAATGCATCACTAAAAACTGAACCAAAAACTATACGTAACAAAAGAAACATTGCACCATTTTTATATGGCTTATTATTGTCGACAAACTAAATGAAATGTTAAAATAAGCAATTCTTTTTTTAGGCATTAAGATAAGCTGGATATCACAATCACTGCAGTCTTACTTTGTACTCGTCTATTTTACGAAAACTAATACGATGCTAATTGATTAAATCAATGCTTTTAATTCAAGAGACAAAATGGCGCCGAAGTCAAGGTTTGAGTCGAATTTCGGTTACTTCTGTGCCAGTTTCTCCTTTGAATTTCAGTAAAGAATAATCTGAACGAATCTTCAATCAAATTATTTGAGAATAGGTGCACTATTTGTTAAAATGATTTTATGACATTGTTGTTTATATAAATATGTTCAATTATTGTGAATGATTATTGCAATAAAAATGATTGAAATAATTGTCTCAAATAAATTTGAAGCCACATTTTTGACAACGACATTGTCATTGAATCAAAATCAACCAAATAACAATTAGAATTTACAATCAGATTATTTTCATGATTTTGGTTTAAAAAATGCAGGCAAATTAATGTAAATACACTTGAAATTCATCCAATTTGCATGATTTTAACAATATTTTCTATGCAATGCTATCTAAAATGTTTGTTCAATACAAATGAATGCATATTGATGACTGAAATGAGTGATTCGTGTTCAATGTTTTGATGCATATGAGTATGGGAAGGAATCATTTGTGGTAAATTAAAATAAAATGTATATTTCTCATTGGCACCTGTTGGACAGCTTTGACCTCTCACACAATTTCCTTCACAAATATCATTATTTAATAATAGTTGTTCATAACTGTTCAAAGCCACTGTGCACAAATTTTTGTCCGATAACTCCATCGACAATGTTGGAAAACGCTCTTTCAAACGTTTTCGTTCCTGCGAAATTAAAACAACAAACATTAGAAACATCCCCGTTTGCCGCATTCTATTGAACCAATTCCATCGGCTTTTTTTTAAATCAAAATAACTTACTTCGGTCAATTTATTTTCCTGAAAATCTTGCAGTTGAAATTGAAATCCTTGATTTGGATTGGCAACCGATCGTCCTGTTCGAACCACTTTCAATGCTTCTTTCCATGATAATTGGGTTACAGACATAATATAAGCAACCGCAACCGTAACCGAACGTGACATTCCCGCTAAACAATGTATCAAAACGTTACCATCACGCAAACGGGCTGCATGTATAAAATCATTGCAGACAGAAAAATACTGTGATAGATTTTGGTCCGGTGTGTCCGATGCCATAATGCATAAATAATGTTTATCCTGTTTGATGAAATGGAAAAAAATTCGATGAATCAACATTTTTGAGGCAAAAAAATTGTTTGATTTTTCCCTAGAACATTTTTGGGACATATTTGGGTCCGGAAAATATTCAAAATTTATGTAAAACAAATTTTCGATTTGCAATGACAAAAATAATTAAAATCTTAAAAAAAAACTTCAAATACTAACTCGTATAAGTCTTCGGGGGCTATCATGAATGGCAATAATGTGCGTTATATTAAATTTCTCTAATTGTTGCTGATCTTTTGAGTCCCGATAATTGCCAACATACAAACCGGGAAGGACCTAAATGATTGAAAATACCGTGTACATTAAAAGCATCAACGCTGTTTTACATTTAAAAATGCATAATATTTCCACAACAACAAGGCCAACTCACCTTATCCATTCCATTTCCCATAGCGTATTTTGGAAGCAAGCACACTTAGCACATGAATAATACGGTTGACGTCAATTTACCAAAATTAAACAGTCAAAGCATTTGCAATGTATATTCTTTCGAGCGTTTTCGCGTAATACAATAAATGGTTTTTTGTTTCTCATTCGCCGTTAAATTGAATGAAATTTTGTGAATTGTGTATGTGTGTATGTGTAATAACGTATGCAAAGTACTTTTTTGCAAGATGAAAAAATAAATTGATTGTTGATATTTTATTTGGTTGTGTGAATGTGATAATTGATATGTAATTGTGTAATTGCGTTTTTGTTTAACAAATGGGATAACACCTCAGAACAATCAATTACTAATTAATTAGATTGATTTTATTTCGGTTTTTTTTTTCTCACAAAATTGACAATGATCGCGTTATATTTAACTTCGTCGTTTGCTTTCTTTCTCGGTTGCTTTACGTGTTGATGTTTGTTATGTTGTGTTTGTTGTAAATGATTCAGTTTTATGTTATATATTGTCACATTATTACGGCGTTTAAAAATTCGGTTACATTTCTGGTCGTTCTTGGTCTCTGGATTCAATTGTCGCCAAGTCAATTAAAAATAAAAAAATAATAATAATAATAACGACAATACGGGAACCATCAGCCGAAGCATATCTCCTTTGATATTATGACTTTTTTACTGAATATTCCATCAACATAATCCAAATTAAAATCCATATTCATCATGGTTTACTGGAAATGGTTACCTGCAAGGTTGAGGGAAAAACCACTTGTTATCAATAACAAAGTTGTAATATCGTTTACTATAGTTACTACGGTCGAAATACATAAAATATGTGGCCGGAATAATTAAAACAAACGAAACATTATCCTTCATTACGATTGAATGGGATACAATCGATTTTAGAATTACAAAAATCATACTCTTTGAAGGATTTTCTTTTATGCTCCATTAAAACAAAAAAAACCTAACAATTCAATGGATCGATCATTTAAAATAAATGAATTTTCTTTTCGATATGAAAAATCCGACAGCCCAGGAGATGAAAGATGCAGTAAAATGTCAATTATTCCCTCCTAACAATGAATTCGTGCTCTTTTTTTCGATGAAAAATGATCAAACAGCAGAATGAAATGACAATATATACCTTGTGCTTTTTTTTCTCTCGTTCTTCGTTGATTGTCCTCGTATCAAAATATGACAATGATTGATTCAATGAAGAAATAACATGAAGCACTGAACATGACATTGAAAAATGTATAAAACAATTTATGAATGTTAATAAAAATTTAAAACCGGTGGATAACCGTTGACGATGTGACAATGACTGTGTCGGTTTGTCAAAATGTTGTTACATAATTCAGGATCGTTTGAGTAAAAAAAGCAATCAGCTTGAAATATATACATATATGTATGTTTAATTCGTGTTTCATAGTGTTTTGTTGGTGGTTGTTGTATGCGATGAATTTTTGTGCTCGGCGACAATTTCATTTTGGATGAAATGAACACTACCGTGGCCGAGGTAGAAAAAGAAAATAATTAAAGTGAAACAAGAAATAAGCAAACAAATGAAATTGAAAAAAAATACGGCGCCGCCGTGAAATTACATCAACCACACTAGAATAAACTTGGCAATCAGTAACGTTCCGTGTTCGGGATCATTTGCATAATTTATATTATAATAAGCCGTAATGGTTGAAGGATGTTGGGACGAGGCGGAATGCAGAGTGTATATGAATTGAACGCGTGAAATCGCCATCGTCACTATGATGGTGTTGTAAAAAAAACCAACAACCCCATGGCCCACACTCAACAAGCGTTGGAAGTTCGCCATGGTTTTTGTCCATTGGAATTTCATTCGGTTGAAAATCGCAAACTATAATGCATGCGGCACATATGTATAGCATAGATTCATAGCACACACCCGTTCAAAATTGTAAATACACGATTGTGAGCGGTTCAATGTGTCAACGTGTAACGTGACAAAGCCACATTATTGGCATTTGAGACATTAATCAAAATTAAAGACAAACACTGAACTTCAACCATTCACATGAATAATTCAGACGATTTTCAGGCTTTCATGCCAATTGAATTCTCACGATAAGGTCACACACGATTTTCAAATCAATGTTGTGGAGCACATTTTTGCATCTCAACACACAACCGGTTGGGAACTTACCATAAAATTTGGTTTGATGTTTCTGTTGCTTAGAGTTGCAGCTACTGCGATTTTTAAAAAAATTATTCAATTCACCACTGTCTTTTTTATCACAGGACATTGAGCGAGTAGTTTAATTGTTGATCCGAATAGCAGGATAAAAAAAAGCAACAACAACATCGCAATCTCACAAGTGAATCCCTATCACTGTTCGCGCTTTTTTTCTACAACACTCATGCTCTTTTTCAATTGAAAACTCCTTTCTTTCGAATTATCTCACTTATAGCAAAAATATGTGTGTGTATGTGTGTATTATTCGAATTGATATTGAAAAAAACGACAAATTCATTTGCGGCTTACTTATTGTTACAATTAAGCTAATAATTTTTGGTTTAATTCGTGATATAATTGCAACTACTTGTCGATATTTGAATGAAATCAAAGTCTTCGTGCACGCTACTAAGACTCTAAGCAAAACTATCTGGCACGTGCTGTCACGTGAATATCAAATCAAAATATCCTACGAAAAACTTTAGTTTCTTTTAGTAAATAACAACAAACTTTCAACAAACTAATTGTAAACACATTGTTCTATATAATGTACATATATGTACTGCGTTTGGGGTTCTTTTACGATTTTTTCTTCTTCTTAAATTTTTTTCTCCTTTTTTTACTACAAAAATATACAAATTTCGAATTTTATTCGTTTTTCTTTTGTGGGTTTTGATTGCTCTTTGAATTGCATTTCGTATCAGCCAAATAAATAACTAAAACATAATATATATGCATATATAAATAAAAATAATTGCAAGGAAATTTTATTATGAATATGTGATTATTTTGATTGATTCGGTGTATATTTTCACAGGCTTCATTGCCTCATATTCATCATGAAATAACAATAACAAAAAACAAAATGGTTATAAACTCTATGGAACTAAATTATTTTATGCTCAAGATAGATGTGACCGCATATTTTATGGTTTAATGGCAGTCTAATTTTCTTCGAATCATAAATTTCATTTCGTCCAGACGATTGGCAAAATATATGTGTCGCGTACCGTTAGAAATCGAAAAATGCCAACACACTTTTATTCGTTTGTTCACCTTGTGTGTGTGCGCGCCGCGGAGACAGCTTGTACCAGCAAGCAAAAACGCGGCTAACAATACATAAAATGTGATTTGTTATTTTTCTACGTCTTTTCTACCTCTAACTTGCAACATTTTCGAAAAACATTTTTGTGACCGTCAAATTTTTTTAATTGAAAACATTTAAATGAAATCACTACAATATACACGTTCCTTGTTTTCGTCTCTATTCGGGAAAAATGTGAAAATCATTCACAAGAAAACGAACAAAAGTAAATGATGCGATTTATTTTTGACCAAAGACGACCGAAAAAAGATTGACAAATTTTATTTATTTTTTGGTTATTTCGTTTGTTATCTTCTTGTTGCTGTTGATTGTTAGTTGTTGTTTTGTTTGAATATGATTTGTTTTTAAGAGGAAAGAAAAAACAATAAATGGAAAAAAAGTTGTACACAACCGATAGTCAGCGAGTTAGAGAAATACTATTTTGGTTCAATCAGTATGTTCGTTGTATACTTTCGTTTGCAATTGCGCAGGTGTCAGGTTTCCATGTCCGTGTTTTTCTTTTTCTTCTCTTCTGGTTGTGCTTTACTCTCGTTCTCTTTACTCTTGTTTTTCGCATTTTTTTTTTCACTGCTATACTTACAATTGCTACAGACACGTCGGCAGCAAAACTAATGTGTACTTTTTGCAACAACAACAAAAAGTTTACTCAGCTTTTCTCTTTCTCGTCACTCAGTTGGATTTGCTGTGTCCAGTGGCGGTGCTGTCACAAAACAAATCGAACAGAAAAAGAAGATGATGGGAAAAAAAGCGTACACAAACGGAAATCACCACTGCAAATGAAGGATGTCGAATGTGTGTGGAAAATGAACGGAAGAGAAAATTGTGTTCAAAAGTGCAACTGTTCACCTTAATGTCGCTTTTCATTGAGGAAATCATAGACAATAGCTACGGAAATTATAAAATTCATCCGTTCGTTTAGCCGCCGTTCATGCTTAATTTTTAATGGAATATTGTCGCCGTCAATTTGCAATCGCAGCAAACAACACTTCTCTGAAATATGTATGTGGATAAGATGTTGTTTTTGTTCTGTCATTCGTAACCGAATCGAAAAAGAGAATTGGAGCGCATGGCACACGTGAAAACGCTTCAATAGATGGAAGTTAGCACCGGGAAAAATGATAAATAAACACAACTCAAACCGTCAAAATAAACGTGCTCGTTGTAAACATCGTCGGTTTTCTTTTTCATATACACCTTGCCTCAACAGCATCTCATTTTTTTCAGCACACGAACAGAAATAAATTGAATTTGATTCTTACAGAATTGTGGAAACATTCAGTGTGCGCGCTTCGCGTTTGACAAGAAAAAGCATCTTTAGATTTAGATTTGTACATCTTTCCGATTGTTTTTGTGTGTCGTACAGAAATCGAGTGCACATGTGTCAAGGACGACGATGGCATTCAGGACGAATAACATTTGCAATAAGTACATTTCAATTAAAGTAATTAAAAATTATGCTTCATTCGATGTATCGATAAAATGCGGGGGCTTTAATTATGCAAACAAGAAATCAGAGAAAAAGGAGAAAAAAACAACAATAATATTTTCTTTTGTATCTATGAGTAACGTAGAAATTGGCGCCAGAAACTGCCTGGCAATCGCATTCGATAAATTAAGTTTTATTTTTAGATTTTCTTTTCGCTCCTGTTAAAAAAACTTTCTAATTTAAGTTTCGTTTATTTTGCGATAAAAAGTTCAAAAGTTGCGCTCAAGTTTCGGAGCTTTGACCATAGATGTCGCCATTATAATGCCAGTCCATGGAAAGCAAAGAAATTCAAATAAGACAATATTTTTTTGGGATGGAAAATTTTTACGGCTATAAAATTGTCTAGCTCGGGCCACAATGAAAATTTAAAAAAAAAAATCGAGATCATTCATTCTGACGTGATTTTTATTCGATTTTCATTTGAATGTTTTTCGCCGTTTTGGTCTGACATTCTTTTTTAAATCATCATCAGATACCTCTGGATCGATCGACTCACAGGTGCTTTTGGCTACCAAATGGGTATTTTCTTTTTCCGAAGACTAAGATTAAAACACATCGACTATTCTAAGGCAAACAATTGAGAGAAAGTTATGCCACAAATACCACAAGCAAGAAATGAGCATTCGAGTGGGATCATTTGTTATTTTTCTATTTAATTTCAAATGCGAATGGAAATTTATTAGATTTCATTTCTTGCTCGCTCATTCGCTTGCATTAGCACGCGCGCATCTCTCTTTCGCATCTTCCCTGTCTTTGTCGGTTTTCTTCTTTCAGCTCGTGTGTATGTGTCGATCGAAATGAATTGAATGTACGAAACGATGGCGACAACGACAACGGGCGACATCAAACGATTCGAACGAAATAGATTTACGTATTTGATATGTTGCAGACTTTATTTTTATCTATTTTAACATTTGATCATCTTCATTTTCATTTTTTTTTTTGATCGATGCAGACAGGGCTAAAAGAAATCCAAGCGAGAAGAAAAAAATTCCAATCATCCATTCACTGTGAGCTGAATGCATATAGAAAATATATACAGCATACATTGGGTTAATTTTTTTGTATGTATATGTGTGCGTGTGCATGTACCGTTGATGAACACAACTTACAAAAAGAATGACAGAGTAAAGTAAAGCCAAATCGAATCGAACGCATAGGAATAACGATACGATTGTACACATAAGTACATATTTCCATTTGAGCTCGCATCAGCCAAAACTGATGTGTACTGTGCGCACTCTAAAATTTTTGAGTCTGAATACAAACAATAAACACAACACTCACACACACTCATACAGCCGACACGCTCGCCTGTACAAAACCAAAACATTTCCATAGCACTCATATGCTATGATGTGTTTTTTTGTCTCTTCTCTGTTTCGTGACGCTTGCGTACATTGGTTCATGGAATTTTTCTGAAAAATCGTCTGATAGCATACACTCAGGAAATTTTCCGTGGCGTGAATGATACAACTGTGGAAAAAACAATAATGACACATTTGTTTACATGAAAATTTCGAATTTTCTAATCCGAAAAATATACTTTAAATTTTCTAATCCGTATATCTCTTATTTGATTTGAATGCAAAAATGTGCGACTATAAATAAATTAAAGTTGTAAATATTATTCAAATATTATTTGGTTAAAATGCGGAATAAATTGAGTCTAGATTTTTCTGTGTGCTCAATATTTTGTATACAACACAAATACCGATGAAAGTACGGGCGTATGATGACGACGTTTAACTGTATTGGTGGCTCTAACTCGATATTTTATGGTAAAATCCGAGGAAGAATACACCAATACATAGGTGTATAAGTTTCGAGCGTTGTGCCTGTATGCGTGAAACAAAATGCCATTGTCGTGCGTGCAATGAAACGGGATAGCGATCGAAAAACGAATGAGACACAGCGATGTGACGACGATGGCATCAGCGTATATGAATACCATAGAAAATAGTATATCGAATGCTTCTCCATACATGCTGTATAATATAGTTTGCATCAGCAACAGAAAAAGGTATGAGGCATTCGACAGTGCGCTGCTCTGCTGTGTTCGAACGATTCAACAAACCAAATTGGCATTCAAGTCCAACTGAACAGTGAATAGTACGTAATGTTGCTACGGTAGTGTTGTGTGCATTGTTCATTTCATCCAAAACGAACCGACCGAAGAGAAAAAACACACAATTTTTTTTTACGTTCGCAGAGTATTGGGAAAAAGCAACATTTTTTTTTCAATAGAAAAAGAAACAATTTCGTCAGAAAATTTTATTAAAAAAAAATTCAAAATTTTCATTAAAAATATTTTCATTCGCATTTGTACGTAATTTGCGCCAAAATTTGCATGATTTCGAATGGATTTTCAACGTAAGTAAAATTAGAAAAAAAAATTTTTTTCCATTTTTATTTCTTCATAATATGGTTTCAGTAGACATTTTTGTGGTAGCCATTTTTAATAAATTATTCGTCTCTCTGTTCGTTTTGGTCGGCCATCTTTGTTTTGGTTCATATGTGTACATCGGTGTCGTCTTATTCGTGTCGCTTTCGCGAACTCGTTCGTTCGTTCGATTCGTTTGAGCGCTACAATATTGCTTCATTTGCGTGTGATTGTATGTGTACATGTGCATTGTTGTGTGATGGTGTGTGATTGTATTTACGTAAAAACATTTGTGATTCGTGTTTGACAGCCACTTGTGTAACATGAAATGTATAGAGAGTGTACGTGATTTAACGTTATATTTGTGGATAGTGAACGTGCTAATGCGTGACTTTTCCAATGAAAATGTAAGCACGGTCACAAACATCTCAAATCATAACTTTGAACGTACGAATGTGGCGTGCAGCGCAATGCGTGAATGTTGTTTGATGAATTCTGATTGACAATAAACACACATATCAACAAACAAATGGAACGAAGCAACAAAAAAAGAGACACTTTTGTACGCACTCTCTTACGAACATAGCCTGGACGAACATGGATTGAACAGTAAATCATTAATTTTCCTTCATGCAAGAAGTGGAGAATTCAAATTAGAAATCGAAAATTTTAAAATTTTCAACCAATGATTCTTAGCTGACACTCTCCGTTCTTCGCATGTAAAGTGCGTTTGTTTACTGTTAATTTGTTGTTGTTGCAAAACCAAAATAATGTTTATTTTCTCCGTTTTAATCATAAATGAATAATTTTAACTCATCGATTCGATTTATTTTTCTTCTTTCCAAAAAATTTTTTTTTTGAAAAAAAAAATCGAAAAAAAAATTTGGCGATGAAACAGGTTTTAGTGAAATGACATCACCTGAAATCAACTTAAATAAAAAGATACTAAAAATGTCGGATATTGAGTTGACAAACAATGCATCAAGTGAATTGAGTGCGGGATTTTCAACACCGCCATCATCATCGCTGGACACATGCGATTCGGGTTTTAATGATTTATATTCGAATAGTTTCACATTGATTAGTTCAGCGAGTAGTAAGAGTTCGCGCACAACACCCGCTCAAATCGATAATTCAGATTCGTCGCCCGAATCGGCGCAACTGTTTGATGATAATTCAGCAACTGAATCACAAAATACAACACCACAGAATGTGACCGATCATGGTCCACCATTATATGGTGATGTATGCGGCGGCGGCGGCGGCAATCCAATTAATGAAGCCCAATTAGACTTAAATAGTTTAGATTATGATCACACAACAAATGCCTGTGGGACGACGACGACCGCGACGACGTCGACGGTAGCGTCAACAGCGACAACGGTTGCTAATAAGAATAGATTCGGAGACAATGATGCAGATGACTACAATGATGACAGTAATATGTCAGATATATCAGATTTATCTGATGTTTTTAAGCTCAATTCAGACATTATGCCTGAAATGCAACGTTCCATAGACTGGGTAAGTTTGTCAACAGAAAGACATTTTTTTTTTTACCAAAACCAAAAGTAACAGTAGAAAATACGTATTCTCATCAATTTTTTCCGTTCTGGGTAACAAAATAGGTACACATGCAAATCGCGTCCGGTGTAAATCCACGTGAGTGCCTATCGCGGATATTTGTGAATAGTCCAAAACAAACAATACCCGAAAATATAACGGACAATGATCTATGGCGCGTTATTGCGGCCATTCTGTCCGATCCACCACGGCGACAGCGTTTGCAAGATATTCAAACAATTGAAGAAGTGTGCGATACAATAAAAAAATCAAAAAATATAATAGTATTAACTGGTGCGGGAGTAAGTGTGTCATGTGGCATACCTGATTTCCGTTCACGAGATGGCATTTATGAGCGTTTACGCATTGAATATCCAGATATGAGAGATCCACAATCCATGTTTGATATTGGCTATTTTGCACGTGATCCCCGTCCATTCTATCAATTTGCAAAAGAAATTTATCCGGGACAATTTCAACCATCACTATCGCATCGATTTATAAAATTGCTTGAACGCAAAGGTAAATTATTACGAAATTATACACAAAACATTGACACATTGGAACGCGTGGCCGGCATTGAAAATGTTATTGAATGTCATGGTTCATTTGCGACGGCCAGTTGTACACGTTGCAAATATATGGTAGAAGCGGATGAAATTCAAGATGATATTCTGCATCAACGGATTCCAATGTGTAAAATATGCGATACACCGAAAGATGGCGATCACGATGACAACGATGCATTATTGAATCCACGACCCGAACAACCGTTTAATTACAATCAATTGGTGGCGGCCGGTGTCATGAAACCGGACATTGTATTCTTTGGCGAAAGTCTACCCGATAAATTCCATTCGACCATCGAACTCGATAAGAGTCATTGTGATCTATTGATTGTCATTGGATCATCGCTTAAAGTACGGCCGGTTGCACTTATACCAAGCTCAATTAATCAATCAATTCCACAAATTCTGATCAATCGCGAACAACTCGATCATTTTGTATTTGATGTTGAATTACTCGGCGATTCAGATGTTATCATTAATCATATGTTGCACACGTAAGTTCAAATATTATTATTAAAATACTTTTTTGTTTGCAATAAAAACAAAATCTATTGAATGAGTCAAATTTCCGCATTATGAAAAAACGTTTTTACAACTTGGGCAATGGGAAAAATGACATTAATTTTATTTTTTGATTTTGAAATTGTCCGGAGTAAAATTCAATGAAATTAAACAAAATTCATTTTGTTATATAGACTCGGCGAAGACTGGAATGACTTTTGTCCACAGCCAGCGTTGAAACAAACAAATGAGCTCATCCTTAGTCCTATGAATGTTCACAATATACCTCCATTATTAGCCAATGCTGTGATTAAGAGGCCCCAAGAGCCTGCTTCAGATACGATGGCCGCTTCTGTAAATTCAACCATTTCGGCAGCATCTGTATCAAGTGATGATGGCCCACAAACATCAGATGAATCGTGCAATGAAAAATCACAGTCATCACAGGACTCACCCGAATTGGAACGGTCATCCGAATCGTATTTATCGATGGCCAATTTCTTACCGGACAATTCATTCTTTTACAACGAAAAGAACTGTTATATATTCCCCGGTGCCGAAATTTGGTGGAACAAAGACTCTGATCTCGAATCAACATCGTCCGATAGTTCAAATGACGACGATGATGATGATGACATCGAAGATATGGAATTGTCAACGATTGAACGAAATGAAATGATTAGCGATGTGGAAACAACGATTGCCGTTGAAAATTTATTAGAAAATACAAATGAGCACGAATTTAATAAGTATTTGCTGAAGCGAAATGCAAGCACTACACTCGAGCATATTCACATAGGCGATAGTGAAATTGACGATATGAATTGTTCAAAGCGACTGAAATTAAACGAACAATCGACGGATACAACGGCATCATCGATTGATCACCAACCTCATCATCATCATCATCATCATCACAATCATCAGCATCATATTGAACATACAAGTACAATGTGCGATACAACGCTGGACAACAGTTGTAGCAGTAGCAATACAAGCGATCCATCGTTGCCGCCACAAAACGAAGTATTTTCCCCTAAGTTATGAATTAGGTTAAACAAATTTTTATAATTTTCAAATAATTTTTTTTGTATTTGAACACATTTTATTCAATGTGTATATCGTTTCTGTTTTGTGTCGTCCTAAAGTATGTTGAAGAGCGTTCGATTATCGGCGCGTTGATCGACATGATTTAAAAAAAATGCATACACAGGTATGCGTATATGTGCGCGCATTTAATTTACGCAAACATGCACAAAACAAATACACACACACTCTCACACACAAATCAATCGTTCGTCTGTATATGTATTTGTTGTTGTCAAAAAGAGGATGAAAAAAAAGGAGATTAAGTCATGTGTGTGTGTGTGTGTGTAAAATCGATGAAGGAAAATTCGATAAAAAAGTTTAAACCGTGAAAATGAGTATAAGAGATTAAAAAAATAACAAAAGCCTTTTTTAAAGTAAAATCGCAATCGCCATGCCTGAAATGTTCTAATGCAACATTTACGTGCTTAATGAGTGCATTATATACTAATTGAGATAGAAAAAAAAGAGATAGCTGAGGGTAGAAACAAAAAGTATTTCAATAAAAAAACAAATTAGTGAGAACGAACTTGAATAGGCTTGACTCATTTCACAAAGTGGTAATTGAATTATGTCAATTGGTAGTTTAGTTTTCTTGCTAACACATCTAACGGCTACAAACGCTAGCATACTAAAACTTTCTTCAAATTTTTCTTTAATCCAGTGATATTTTTACTTGTACATATATGGGAATTCGGAATTCGGTTCCCGTTTAAAAAGAAAAACAACAACACAAATTTAGAATACCTATATTATCATTTTTTTTATATCTTATTATTTTGTCGACATTTATCTATGCACTTTTCTTTTCTTTTCATTATAATTACATTGAATTATTTTCAACATGTATATTTAAAATTATTTGAAAAAACCAATTGATTTATGGGAAAATGAGAGAGAGAAAAAGGCGTATCGAGGCCCTTTTTACCCCGTAGAAGTTCGATTCTCACTGCAGGAATATATATATATATTCACGATTTAAATAAGCTGTTTATCGACTGAAAGATTATGATGATGATTATAATGTAGACGGCATTAAAGCAATAATAATACATTCTCATCGGTGCGAACAAAATAACACAAACTATTTATTAAATATCTTGTACATATATTAAAAATGTATGTATGCAAAAAGGAACGACGAATTTCGTCAACATTGAACCATTTCCCCGATCTGGTTTTCGAAAAGAAAAAAGAGGAGGGTACATTGTTCAATTGTGATTGATTTGGTTTTTTTTGAGGAAATAATTGGAAAATCAATTAAAAACACAAAACATGTACTTTTAATGCGAATTTTTGTTCAACTTTTCTTTGACCAAAAAAAACCCAAACAATCCTCCCCAATTATGATTGTTTCATTTTCCATTTCGGGAAATAGATTTTTCGAAAAATACTTTCTTGAAAATGTACACAAAAACAAATCAAATGTTTTATTTTCCAAAACATAAACAAATAAACAATTGTGTTCAGAAAGAACAAGCAGCTCAACAAAATCATCGATTGAGCGCACAATCGAAAAATTTCAAACAATTTGTTCACGCCCTACCCCTTAAACAAATGTGAAACATTTTTGCGCAAATTATTATTCTTCCAAACAACTTTTGACTATTGACTAATAAAAATAAATTAAACTTTTGAGAAACATTTAAATTAAATTACATTACGAAAATAATTTCGATCGAATATTTAAAGCAAATTTTTAAATTGACACATACACACACATAAAGAAAAAGAGATGAATTCTAACAAATTTATATTTTAAAATGGTTAAAAAAAATGATATGTAAAATGAAAAGAAAAGAAATGTCAAGAGAAAATGAGATGATGAAAAAAAAAAACTATTATGTATACTTATTACCTACGCAAATAATCAACTCAATCACGATCGAATCATTGTTTCGAATGGATGCAGACAGAAAATCTGTGTAAATTGATGAGGCTTCCCCCAACCATTTTCAGAGGGCTTATTTTTTGTTTTAATAAGCCCCTTCAAATGTAATAATTTTCACCGACGTACGTTGGCCCAATCGAATCAATTGTTGATTGTAAATTTAGTATAATTTCCATATGGATGCAAACACAAAAACGCATACGTTTCCCTTATCTGTACATTTTTTTTTCTATTCTATTTTTCTCTCTCTCTCTCTCTCAAATTCGAAAAACAAATGATTTTTATGGCTAACACTTTTATACATGTAGTGAATTGCTCTTGGACAGCTAAACGAGAAAACAAATTGTATTTTATTCGGTAAAATTCAGAGATAGGAACTTTTTTTAACACAATATATAAATTCGAATCTAATTATCAATTGAATCTACTTATTTGTACTGATTTGCATCGATCTTTGGAGAGAAAAATAGAAAGAACACGCGCAAAATTCAACAGCTAAATACAAATCACAGACAACAGTATCAATGGAGCAGCAAAACAACAGAAAAGAAATTTAAAAAAAATCAAGCCTGAAATTCAAAAGATTTATATATATACATATATATTATTAATATTTTTTTTCGTTGAATTCTACTAACGATATTATACATTTATTATTTTACATTTAGTGAACAAAGTACGAATTAAGAGAGTAACACACGATTATTGTCTTGAATATTGTCTGGGCCACTGTAACTTCGACGATTTTTTTTTAATTATTTAAAGAAAAAACTAAACTACGCCCGAAGATAAGATGAAACATTTATAACATAACATTTATGCAATTTTTTTTTTGTCAAGAAACGGAAAATTATAATGAAAAAAGAAAAATAAATCAACAACATTTTGTACAATATGATCTCAGATTTCAAGCGTTGGTAAAAAAATTGAATAAAATTAAAATTGAAAGAATGTGAGAAGAAAAAATACATCAATAAAATATTTTGATTGCAAAAAAACAACATAACAAAATGAATTCAGTTTAAGTTAATATACATACATTTATAATTTTTAAGGCATTCAGTAGCATTTCAACGAGAAACTAAGGAAATAGAAGAACAGTGTTTCAGTTGTACTCTAATGCTACGATCCCTAATAATTTTTCATTTTCATTTGTAATTTAGGCGTTCATTCTTTTATTTTGTTGTTAAATAATTTATTTGTAATAATTTTTTTCTATTTGGTTCATAATTTATCCTACTCCCTGCACTGGCTCAAGTGCGTGATTTCGTACTGGCGTTCGATTTTTCATGCCATTCCAAAAAAAATGCTGCTTTTTTCTCCAAAATTTCCGGAAAAGAGCAACACTCAATGGCCTACATACAATGCAGGCTGCAAGCCAGCGACTGTGATTACATCTGTACGAAATCATGCACAGCAACAAGTACTAAGAAAACAATAATAAAACCATTCAGTTCATAATTTAGCTTTATCAAATAAAATTGGTTCCATAAAGAGCTTTGTATATGCAATTGCTTTCTATTTCTTATTAATTTTTTTTTCTTCTTGTTCTTTGTTCGTTAATTAATTAAATGATTCAACAAAAAAATCAACAGTTCTATTGCTAGCGACCAGAACCGATACCTATTTATAATAAAACAAAAACAATATATAGCTTTTTATAAATTATTTTTCTATTAATTTTATAATTTAATTTAATTTAATACATCAAAGTAGATCAAGTCTGCATACACACTAACACTTTGTCGTTCCGTTGACGATTGTTGATTGGAAAATAGAATCAATCCAATCAAAATATAGATTGAAGAAAAGATTTACCAATATCTAAACAATTATTAAAAAAAAAACAGTGGTTTTATTTCTTCACATTTGAAATCGTCCACCAGCGACTGTCTAAACATATGGAATACTGTCTAAGGCGGATTGGAAAAATGTTCATTTCTTTTGTTTTTTAAGCAGCATTAAAAAAACAACAAAATTATTGATTCAAATAAATGTAATTTTCACACAAACAAACAAAAACAAACCGTAAAACAGCATTTTTATTCAATTTTCAGCTTATCTCGTTTTTTTTTTTTTTTTTTTGAAGTTGCTTTGAATTTTAGCTTGAGTCAATGGAATGAAGTTTATTCAATAAACGGAGTAAAAACATTGATTGGAATATAAAATGAATCTTCTTTTGCAATATAAACAAACATTTCTAAATAAAAGCAAAAACAGCGAATCTGAAAAAAGAAAGAATAGAGATTTTGGCCAGAATACCTGTTGGCTATCATTATTCTCAATAGCCAATTCATTTGTCGTTGTTCAAAAATCAAAGATGCCACATTGTTTGAATTCAAAAAGAGGAAAAATCTCCAGTTATTACCGTTTCGTGCATATTTCCACGCTTGCCTAGATAAGCTAGGTAGCATTGATATGCCAAGCATAGCGGCAAATGCAACCGACGCATCGCCGTTCACTTTGTATGAACAATACACATGTTCGTGTATGCAGGCGACCGTGCTTTGAGAGACGTACGCATAAGATATAGCTCGAATCGAATGGGTGCGTTGCGGCTTGCGTCTCCGCTATGCTTAGCATAGAAATATACGCGAACCGGTCCCTGGTTTTTGTCAATATAAAGTCGATTGGCAAATGAAGCTAAACGCTTTCAAGAGGAAAACAGCAGATTTCGTACTTTTTTCAAAATACGCTACTCCAAGAAGAAATGTACGGTTTACGTTCCCATTCCGGGTTGAAGCAATGCAATGAGCAAGGCAATTCGAAAATAAAACAATGATGGCACGCAATCAAGTCAACTCGGCCAACCCATTATACGCATACGTACAAAGCAAAGTAGATGCCGCTTAGAAGAACTACTGAAACCAACACGAAATCATATGTATCTTTCAAAATCAATTTATTTGAACAGTAAAACAATATTAAAACCAGATCATCAATTTAAACAGAGGCATGAAGTCTAAACTGTATTACTTTTGCCACATGTTATAAATTGATAAAAAAATCAAATACAATACGCAAGATCATCTGTGCTACGTTTTAAAGATATGGATCAAATCAGTTAAGGAACATTGATTCACGGAAGCTATTAATTTCTTTTTTCTGGAGCATGAGTGCAGCTAACCTGGGTAATGCAGAAATTGCGCTGGATATATTACCCGCCAACTTACTATATTGTATTCTAATGTCGTAGAATTTTATTTAGTCTCAGCAAAGGACAATATTGTGCATATTGTCCATATTATTGGCGAGAAGGAAGAAATGGGATCGTTCAGTTCTTCCTCTCAAATAACTCAGTCAAAGCCACAGTTGTGGGTACTGAAATGCCGTGCATTAACACCCGCATCGCATATTATCTAGATTGGATCGAGGCAATCGTTTGGTCACAACCATAGAAATAAAAGAGAAAAGTGATAAATAACTAATTAGTTATTATAGCTAGACTAGCCTAGACATTCTTCTGTCCAGAAATAAAATTGAATTTAAATCAATATTTGAATGACTTTTATTAACACAATCCTTATAATGCATATAGATATACTCAACTAGAAGGAGCTTTTCATTCTTCCATATGTCATTTCGAATAAATTTTTTGTTAATCGCATGGCTTATCTTTCTGATTTATGGAATATAAAAGCATCAATGTTAACGACTTTATTGACGAAAATGGTATATTTATTAGTATTGTCTACTACGACAGTTGTTGTACGTTGTAAGCTTAGTTGCTCGTGATTGATGTCAATATACGAATTATAGTAAAATGGGAACCAATTATCTAAAACATTTCTTATACATTTTAATTAATTTTTTCATTTAAAATTATATTATTATGATTTATTTATTTTTATTTTGGGCATTTTTTCAAATGCATCTTCTGCTCTTGAATATAAACGATTGTATTCTTGTTGTCCAAGTGCTTCAACTATATTTCGAAAAGCTCCGTCTTTGTTTTGCATCAATAAGTATGGTGCATCAAATTCAATTGCGATGCCATCATCCATAACCAACACTCGATCTGAGTCGATAACGGTATTAAGTCGATGAGCCACTGTTATAACTGTTGCATCCGAAAATTTCTCTCACATTGTCTTTTGAATCATTTCATCCGTCCTACGTACGAAGGTGAGTATATTTAAGTTTTTTTTTCAGTACAAAAGTGGAAGATGATAAAATTCTCACCGTAGATCGACATTTGCTGTCGCTTCATCAAGAATAATAATACGATTTTTCTTCAAGATCGCTCGGGCCAAGCATAAGATTTGTCTTTGACCTTTACTAAAATTCTGTGCATGAGCCAAAACGGACATTTGCAAACCGTTTTTTTTCGATACAAATTCTTCGAATGGATCCAAATTCCTAAAAAAAGAATTTTATTTCTATATACCTTCTCAAAGTGCCCGAAAAAAGAGTTGGCTCTTGGGGTATAAT